AATTAGACAAATTCCTACTCCGATTGCGGTGTTTTATAACATCCGCACATAGTTAAATTTACCAGGAGAACATTATTTTACAAGTCCCCATGCAACTCTTGAGGAGACTCTTTGAAAAAAAAGCAGAAGAAAAAAAGTAGAAATTATCCGAAACTTTGTGCAGTAATTGGTCGATCGTCAACTAGGGAAACTAAAGGATGCTTAGTTGCATTGCAGCGCTGAAAAATTTCACCTGATAACCATGAACGGTTGCGTGTATTATTGAAACATTTAGGAAGTTCTGGTCAAATTAAAAAAAAAGAAATAAAACTTTGACTAAAATTTGCTACCGCTCACCGCACTGGAGTAATACATAAACGGTTAAATGAAACTTTGCAGCATTGCATAGCAATCAAGCTTCTCTGCTTCTGACATTTTCAAATATGAGAAAGAATCCGCGATTCAAAAAACTAGATGCATTTCTACTTTCACCGACAATATCCATTACCTTTTTATGAGGGGTCACCTGGTCTTCTTTCTAGATGCTTCATCTCTTACACTGTGTGCTTCTTGGTTAATTTGGATGTATGGTTTCTAGCAAATTGGCAACACTGGATTTTGTGCATTTTAATGCACTTAATACAATCGATATTCTTTGGAACATGCTACCAAAATACAGGGTAATCCTAAAATTCACCACCACCACTACCATCTGATATCGCCTCTTTAACCTTTGAACAAATTAAAATAGGGACTCGGAATTTTGTGAGTGCTCTAAAGTCAAAGGAAACGACTTTGGGTTCCACACAATTTTGAAAGTATCACTCAGAGAAGGGACATGAGCCCTGGCAGCTATGAGGCGAGGCAGGTGCGGAATTTTCGGATAGCTCTGTAGTATCGATTGGACGTATTTATGCTAAAAAGAACTATGTGCATAGGGATTCTGTGTGACGTAGTTCCTTTTCTCATGAATACGTCCGATTATTAGTCGTAATGCATTTAAATGACGGAAAACCAGCGTTACCAACGAATGGCTGCTGCCCAGCGCCCATTGAGACGCATGATGGACGTTGTATTTAGAGCGATATTACAATGTTGTTCATTGGAAAAATGTCATATGAAATTCCGCACGTTACCGCATTTTTCTGATAAAACGAGAATTTTCCGGCAAACTTGTGAGCTTTTCCAGCAAATTTTACTTGCGAATCAATAATATGCTTCTGAAAAACCAGAAAAAATATTCATGATTTCTTCGAATAAACAATATTTCATAAAAAAAAACTCAATGTTCATAAGTCGTTTTTCCTTAGCTTGACCGTGACGGCAGTACTGCCGTGATAAGGAAAAACGCCAAATGAACCCTCAGGCGTTGCCACATTTCGTTTGAAAAAAAAATACAATTTTATCGCGTAAGTTGGAAATAATTTCCATCCAATTTTCCAGAAAAATGTGTTTGCAATCAAATCTACATGTAATACCTGTCAATCTCAATAAAAAATATGAACAGTTACCTCTCAATCTGAATTTTTATGAGGGAAAATTTGGTAACATTCGATTGTTCACACGTCGTTTTTTCCGTAGCACGGCAGAGTATTTGGACGCATTTATGCTAAAAGGAACCATGTGCATATGGTTTGCGCGAGACATAGTTCTTTTTAGCATAAATGCGTCCGTTTAGTGCTTGATAATCTATGAAACTCAAATATCACAAACAGATTCTATGCCATGCGCAACTAACTCAATTTGATTCGAGACCGCTTGGAATGAGCACTAGCCAGCCACTTTCAGTCAATCATGGACGCACAGTTAATCTACAGTCACCTTCATTCATGATTGCCTCCTCCGTTTCCTATTAGATAGACATGATTCAACTCGAGAAAACAAGTCTCGAGTACGATCTGGCACTCTTGTCGATAAAACTAGCCCCGCGTATTGACGAATGAACTTGAACTTGAAGTTACTACGTAAGGTAATAGTATTCGAAGGCGGTGGATCGAAATGAGATAGTTAAATGAATCAGTGGAACTTTCGATGAAATAAAGGAGCATTTGGCATCTTCGGACCAATGATTTTGAGACGGGCCTCTCCGAGTATGTCATACGCTTGGCGCTGGGCCAGACTTGAACTTGACTGGAAATGAAGCTATGCGTCCAATTTTCAGTCTTTGCCTTTGAGTAATCAGCTATTTATGTTGGCGGTAGTTGAAGTTGTCGGCGACAAAGCATAAATATTTCCACATTGTGAATACGGAGCCCCATAATTATCACTCACTTTCAGTTATATTTCTTAAATTCGTTGGCGATCGGAAAACCTGGGATACCCAAGAAAGTTTGTGAATATTTCATGACTAGGAAAAAATAGAGAGAAATCGAAGAACATCGACAGAAATTTAAGGAAAAATACAGGAAATTGCAGCTTTTTAACCATCATAATTGCACTGAAAAAAACTCCGGCTCCAGAAGCCGTAATTACAGCACTACCGTGCGTTTCGGGTGAGCAGACCGAGAGTCCCCCATTCAGGAGCCGGAGCAACGGCCTCTAAACCCGTAGCAAAAAGAGCTCCCGGCTCAGAGGCCGAAGCTCCTGAATGCGGGACTTACGGCCTCCTCACCTGCACCGCACGGTAGTGCTATGTAGCCAGTAATTACGGTTCCCAGAGCTGGGGTTTTTTAGTGTATCCTAGGAACATGTAAAATAAGTTACGTTTGAAACGTTATTAAAAAGATAGTGTTATTCATAAAATAATTTACAATGAAAAAATTCAATTTTTTTCTTCTAAAATCCTGAATGGAAACTCGATTTTTCTTGAAAATTTAGGGTTCGAAATTTGGGCAAAAATTTTCCCATGCATAGAATAGCTTTCGTGGAAATTTCAAACTTTGTCCCTCCATATACTCGAGACTGCTCTCGCAGAGCTGTCACCTACCTTAAAACCACACAATTATGACGTCACAAAAATTCCAAAATTTATTAGGCTAAGCCAAATCTAACAAGGTATATTACTGATCGTTTATTTTTATTATCTTATTTTGCACTTGGTATGTTTTCCAGAAATGTTCGGTAAAAATATCTTGAACTTCGAAGATCACGTGATTCGGGTTTGCGCAATTAAATGTGAGTCAATGTTTGAAATTGCAGTTAAAAACGATACTATTCTTGCAGAATTTCTAGCTATTTTGAAACATTTATCACGTGTTTTACTAGCTTCTCACTTGAAATGAATTTAAAATGTCTCGCTTGTAATGCATCGGCCTCCGCTTCCGCGGTATTTTAAATCCACCTGCAGCATTCCAGTCCAATAAATCCCCTGTCTGAAATCGCTCTAAAATCGTCGGAATTGAACACTTGTAAGTTCTAAGATATCCAGAGAGAAACTTGTTTTCGGAACATTGATTCTGTCTCATTTTTTCATCAATGTAATCCACCACGCGTCTCACTGTTTCGTGAGTCCCCCTCCATTATTGGATTTTTCACCTTACTCTGAACTAGCAATTTTTCCATTTCAGTTTTTTTCCTTTCACAATCAACTGTTGTTTTCAACAGACTGGAGGAACCGGATCTTAAGCCTGATTGACTCACTGCCGTGCTAGGGAAGAACGCTGTATAAACATTCGAGAGTTGCCAAATTTCCTTCGATGAAATGCTTATTTTTGAGGAGAGTTATGAATGTTTTTCCTTGAAATTTTCAGGAGCTTTAAGTGGAATTGCAAACAAAATCATCCGAAAAATCGGAAGGAAAATATTCATAAGTTTACCAGGAAATTCATGTTTTATCGGAGTAAATTTGGCAACGCCTGAAGGCTCATACGGCGTTTTTCCTTAGCACGGCAGTCACCAGATTTGCCGCTGATCAGTCGGACCAGACACATTATTTCAATCAGCGGAGAATAGACTTTTTCCCCCTTTTGAAAGTTTTTTCACATAATTTTTCCTCAATCATAGTGGTTGAGAAATGGATCGGCCTCCAAGACTAACATTCCTCTCTACATGTGAAAGAAACTATTTTTATACTCTCCAGAAAACAGAGGGGGAAGTATTACTTCCGTACCTTTCAGTGTACATATAACTTAGAATGTAATAAACTCACTCTCGAACGGAGCACGATCAGTGGTGATTTTTTGCGCCAGAGGCGGATCCAGCAATTTGGCAACGCCGGATTTCTTCCATTTAAACCCATGTTAACTAACTGATTCTTGTCGGAGCACCAGGCTCCTCCAAGAATCGATACATTTCCATAGGTTTATATAGAGAATAAAACGATTTTGCCTGTTTTCTGGATATGCCAATGTTTTGTACAAATCTACTAAGTTTATAATGAGTTCAAGATGATCAATTTCAGTTCGATGATCCAAAACCTGCGGGTCGATTGTCGAATCGTTATCGAATGAGTTTGATCGATAACTCCCTATCTTCACAATGCTATATATCGATCAAGGTCATTCGATAACGATTCAACAATCGACCCGCTGGCAAAAGTTGTATAGAGATGATACAAGATAATTGCAGAAAATGACGTTTTATTTGTTGTGTCGCCGTAAACTCTAGATGTTATTTTTAAGCCATTAATGTAAAGAAGCAACACATAATCTTTGGCATGTTATTTTGTTACATGGCATGTTTTTACTCATATCATTATTGACTCTTACTAATCGCCATAGTGATTGCTCCTTGTCGCTTGCTTGAATAGCGTTCCGCATTGTGCATTTTTACTTTATTTATGCCTACACTTTATTATTAATTTGTAATTCGACGCATGCATTGCAATGTTGAGGGTTAGTAGAACTTTTGTAGTAGTAATTTTTGCCACCGTTGATTGGTGTACTTAGTGAGAAAAAGCAACCGACATTTTGTGTTAATTTGAGAAGTAGATAACAAAGTAATCTAAACGTGGGGTCACTGTTTCTCGGTTGGTTTGATTTCATTGATTCATTAATTGACAACATTGATTTTCTCATTTTTCTTTACAGACACTTCAATTTGATTCAACGGAGACTTAATTTGGTGATGCTGTTGTGTTATAGGTACACTTGAGTGATGGAAAATGGCGGATTCGTGGGCGAAATTTGTGCGGATGAAACGGACTCGACGGCCCAAGCGGCCGTGGCGGTTCGGAACGCCTATAAACGCTACACCCCCACCGCGGTCATACTCAAAAACCTCAACATGACAGTCAAACAAAGCACCGTGTAAGTACTTTCCTTTTCTCTTCTCCAGTTTAAATCAGTGATTAGGGGAGGTTTTTGATTACACTGTTTAAAATCGAGGAGTAGAATTCGGTGCCGTAGCTTATCTAACGCCCGAAACCTCCCAGTTTTAGGTACAAATGCGAAATGAAACCAGCACCATAAACGTGTATGACATTCCGCAAGAAGAGTGGATTCCACTCCGTAATAATGTTAATGTATCATAGTATCATCATTCAGTACTCATCGTTTACTAATCTGTATACCCAGCCGTCCTTCCTTCACGGGAACAAAGTAAGTAATTGACTTTTTCTTTACTCCGCGTTAAAGTCTCCAAGGCAGTTTTTTGAGGCAAAGCCGATGAGTCCAAAGTGCTAAGAATGAAAGGTATCTTCCGCAAAGTTTGAGCCTAAAAGATTGGACGTAATACATTTCTCGTCTTATTATCGTGTCTTGCTTATAAAACTGTGACACTTTAATTCCAACCAAGCAACTTAATCTTTCGGCGAAGGAGTTCAATTTCAATTTTTGTTAATTTACAAAAACCGTAAGATTAATCGCACACGAGGCAGCATGTGGTATACACCAATAAAAAATCTTAAATTTGCCACCCAAGAAGTATTTTTTCTTAAATCGAGAATTTTTCTGCTCAATGTAAACTACTTTTTTGCTTAACCTAAGCCTTATTTTTCTTGTATCAAGAAAAATTCAGCTGAAATCAAGATAAAAAAAAAAAAACTTTTTGGCGGCAAATTCAAGAATCATCACGCTTGAGCCAAGCACATTTTTCTTTCGGTGCATGCTCGTAAAACGAGGCACAAGACATATCTTACCTGTTTGATAAATTGACTTGTGATCACCTGCCGACAATAGATTATTGAAATGGTCGGTCAGAGGTCGGTGGTAATTATTTTTAATGAATATTTGCTACAGGATCATTCAAATAGACGTATTGAGGCGTTGAGGTGCGCCTCCGCATGGCGATGCAACTTACATGACTAGTTTAGCACCTTTAAACTTTACGGCAGAAATGTATTACCAAACAGTAAGCTCATCGATTTCAGCGTAAGTTTCTAATACACAGATGGGAGTCTCCGCACAATATGACTCTCAAGAAATTTTAATTCTCATACGCCATACGCCTTTGGGTGTCAGTACTTCTGAAATAATTCTGCACAAAAGAAACCAAAAAAAAAAAAAAAAAAAACAAATGTCTAACTCATAGGAGAGGATCTAATTTCGATTTAAAAAAAAAAAAAAAAAAAAAAAAAAAAAAAAACTTTTAACGCGTAGTGACATGCATAGTAAAATTCATGTACCTCGCGGAGGTTAAACAAAAATATTTGCAGATACATCTTTAAGGAGGTCAATAATTTTTTTTGTTAAATTTTTAATTCACTTCAAGAGCTAAATCTCATTTCAAAAATCATATCCGTAAAAATTAAAAAGATTACAGTTTCAGTCACAATAATTATCGTAAAATTCGTTCGTAATTTTTTATTTCCGTATACTTACATTAAGAATAGTTTCCTGATGACGATACTTTTTTTCTTAAAACATTATTATTTTTGAGAACTTATGACACATTAACTCTCAAATGATATTTATTTATCATAATGTTGGCTTACTTTATTGAAATGCGACAATTACCGCCACTGAAGTGAAATTTTCACATGTTGGAGATAGCCCAGTTAGACAGGACTTCCTCCAAACAACGGTGTATTATGAGCTGTCGGCAGTACAGTAATATCACCATGCCCTATCGCAACTCAGCACTTACCCAGATACACGTGTACCAGTGTGCACTATAGAGTAGTTCCTCTGCCACAGTTGTTTTACAACTTTTTGAAACATTGCGTGATATAGCGGCTAAACCCGAGATAATGGTCTTTGCGTTAATATTTCTTGAACTGTGCTTTAATTAGGTAGGAGTGACGTGAGGCATATGACGAAATGCGCCTAAATTTTAAATGACTATCATTTAATTTTCGTCCAGCGTAAACCCTTAGTATTTGCAGAATGGTTCCTTTCTGCCTCTTCATACTTATCAATGGCGCGGTGTGATTTTCTATGTATAGATTGATCTGCCATTTGAACCTTTGGAGAAGGATCGATAAACATAGGGCGTTTGCAACAAACACCTTAATAATAGATTCTTTACCAAAGCTTCAAATGGGGAATTATCGAAAATCGATCTTTAACTCCTCGCCACTCATACATAAAATTCATTACTTATTCAATTTGCAAACGGTTATTCGTTGTCTTTGCAATTTTATTTACTATGGCTAATTTGACCATAATGGTAAACGGTAATGGGTTTTTCATGCGGTGAGATCAAATTTCAGAAATGCCGAATCCTTGCGTCTATAAAAAAGACTCATTCTCGTTGTTGATCATTTATTGAATATTACCTTTTCATTTTATTGGTGCATTTTTCACGACTTACCCAACTGTCTCAGCCTAGATCGCAATTTTTGGGATACAAACTGTTCTTGAACTACGAACAGATTGCTCTTGAACTTCTCATTCTGGTTTCTGGTGTATTCAAAAATGGCTTACCTTCACAAACCATGTGTCACTCATCAATCAACACGGAAAAGATGTTTCAGGGATTATATCGTAAAATTTTAGTACCACCCCAATTCAGTGGACGATATGGATATTTCCAATTCACTGCGGCAGTGCCGCAACATTTGGGCTATTAACCTAATTTATAGAGATACTACTACAATTAATTGGAAATGTCCGCATCGTCCAACAACCCCGCGTGCTCTGTTCTTCCGTAAACGAGTTGCAACCGTCCCGAGTAAATGAATGCATTTTCAAATAAAATCTTTCAACGTTCACAAGATAAAGCCATAGAGGTCGCGATCTTTTGAAAATAAATGAAACTCTGGTGACACCGTCAAAGGTGAAAGAAGTTCATTTCCGTGCAATATCTTTTATTTATCCGACCATTCTATTCAGAGCCAAGGCAAGAGGCACTTTACAAGCTTGACCGGTTCCTGGCCACGCAACAAGCAACAAGCGCAAATAAAATTGATAAAAGTAGGACTTGTGGCGAAACACTCGCCTCTATTGCAATGCAAGTATAAGAAGTTCTAAAAATTGTTACATTATGAATATTAGAGCCACGGGTGATGATGGGGGGGGGCGGAGGGAGCTGGTTTCTCCGAAGAAATGTGAGGGATTTTACCAAGTAAGCGCATGACATACCTTTCATCTTGGAAAATAGAGTAGAACCCATTTTCGGTGAAAATAGCTCCGAATTAAGGTGTCTCAGAATCTCTACCTCTAATATATGTTTTAAAGAGGAAACTATTGGGTCAATTTTCTGAAATTTTCCGTTTTCAGCGGTGTAAAATCATAAAGAATATTCGATTAATGTTTAAATGAATTATAAACATTTGCTTTCATCACGATGGATGAAACGTTAGTCGAGATTTTGAGACGCCGCACAGTGGATCGAGTCAATTAAAGAGAGGTTCGACATGAAATTTTTGACTAAAACCGCAAATTTTGATGTTCATCTCACCAAATTTTAAATTTCAAGGGGTATTTCAGGAAGAAAATTTCACGAGGAAACCAATGCAACCACTCTTAAACCTCAAAGTTTTCTATAAACGGAGCTTGAAGTGTTTACAGTTTCCAAAGTTTGTCCGACCTCTCCTATTGACTCTATCCACTGTTCGCCGCTGCCAAGAAATGCCCTTTCTACACCCAGCGCTCTAAATGCTCCTGAGACGACTCAATTATTGAAAATTTTCCGGGAGAGGTCCCCTGACCCCCCTGCAAAGCTAGGAGAATTCTCCGAACTCTCTTTTGGAGCTAAAAGAGTCTCGCAAACTCAGGCAGACCGCAGACCCTTCTCATTTTTGGGTTTTTCTATACCCCATTAGATCCCCCTTGATGAGGTTCCCTTCTAGCCCCCTCCCCTTCACGAAAAGTTCCCAAAAGGTTGAAATAAGGCGCGCTGAACTACCAATAGTGAATTTTTGTTACAGTACGATATCTCGCCAAAAACGGAATCCCGCAAAATGTAGCTGCATGTTGCGCCTTTTCTTAACTGAATGATCATGCTTGTGCGTTGCTAAGTTTAGCATCGTATTGTGGAAAGAAGGAGGGGGAGAGAGTGAGGCAATCATGTTGCCAAATGCGCCAGTTGGCAATCATTGGTACTGGCTCGGTATTGGCTCCCGGATGTCTGACCACGGTGAAAAAATCTCGTCGATTAATGACATTCACTTCGACTTGGGTCGATGACCCAACGTCTGTGGAGTGCGTCACGTCTCTTTGAGGCATCTTTGCGTCGAGATTGACCAAGGTCAGAATCTGGTGGGTTCGCCTTCGTTATCTTTTAGCAACGGTTATTCCGGTGGAATTATTAAGCCAAGTCCCGGATTCTGCTCATCGGAATAAATATTATCTTACGGACCTGAAAAATCTCGTTCTTCCGCGCATTTCGATTTCCTGGCCAACGAAATTAAATCTACATGGCGAGAGTTGGAAAAAGCTTATCTCCGCTCGAAACGTGGCAAATTTGTTGGATTTTTTTATTCATTTATTTTTTTAAAGAAACAAAAACCAACAAACATTATTCCTCCAGATTTTCGCCAAATTTTCTAACTCTTAAAATTTTATTAAAAACTTTGAAAAAATAAAATGCGTTCGTTTCTTCACAAAAAAATTATATATTTAAATCTGATAAATAAAATCCAGCTTGTATCGCGCCAAGATCTGATTTTTTCACTGAATTTATGTTGAGACATCTGGAATTTCCATTGTCCAAATAGGGGTTTGCGTTTTTGTAACAAGAACACTGTTTGAAAAAGGAGGTACTTTATAGATGTCTTAAAAATAAATTCAATGAGGAAATCAGTAATGAGACAATTTTTCCCAGGAAAAAAAATAACGAGGCATACTGTCTATAATTCAAACCAATAATCCTGAAAGAACTCATATACGTCTCCAAACAGCATTAAATCGCCTAAGTTCACCTTTTG